TCCACCCTCCACATGGATTTTCCATGGAAAAGCGGTACCTGGTAGACGAAGCAGATGGTGGGAGCTTGGCATCCGTAGAGGAATTTGACGTCGATGACCTGGAGCTCTTCCAGGCGGATGTTGAAGGCTTTCAATTCCTTGTTCTCCCTGTCCAAGGGAATGACCTTGAAGAGGCCGTCGTAGAGCCGGAGCCCGATCATCCGGCACTCGGGATCGATGATCCCGATGATCCCGGTCTCGGAGGGGCGGCCAATGCGATCCTGGGGGACAAATCCACGGAGGAGGGAAGGGAAAAGGGGATTAGTGCTGGGAAAAGATCGCTGAGGGGCTCCAGAAAAACCAGCCCTCAGAATTCCAGCTGGGAAACCACCAAGCCTAAGGAGGAGGTGTCTTTCCACCTGGAATTGCTCCCGCACTGCTTCTTCTCTCCTGGGAATCTGGCACTGTGGGATCAGCCACTAAACCTGGTTTTCCAGCCCCAACTCTGCACTGGATGATCCAGAGGAGCCACATCCCTTTCCTGGTCTCTGCTTTGATATCCATGACCAAACATCCCCCTCCCAAAATCCAGCACTGTTATCCACTCTCACAGACCCCTTGGAGTTCCTTGGCTGGGAATGACTTTGGCACCTCCATGTGCCAAGGACTTTTCCCAAACATTCTTGACAGGAGATTCCCCCCTCCACCTCCTGCCCATCATTCCCAACACCACCCCAGCAAACAACAGCCACAAGTTCCCAAAGAACTCATTTCCCAGGGACAATTCGGACCTTACTAATTTTCCTTAAATTCCATTTATTATCCCATATTTATTATTCCCAAGAACACAGATGTGTCCAGGTCAGAGCATCCTGATCTAGGGAAAGTGCCCCTTCCCATGGTAGAGGGTGGAATTGGATGAGCTTGAAAGGCCCACCCGAACCATTCCAGAATTCCATGTGCTGCCTGGTTGGGATATTGGGAATAAATCCTTCCCTGTGAGGGTGGCGAGGCCCTAGAACGGATTCCCAGAGAAGTTGTGGCTGCCCCATCCCGGGAAATGTCCAAGGTCAGGTTGGACAGGGCTTGGAGCAGCCTGGGATAGCGGGAGGTGTCCCTGCCCATGGCAGTGGGGTGGGACTGGATGGGATTTAAGTCCCTTCCATCCCAAACCATTCCATGATTCCATGTCCTATTTAGATGGAATATTGGGAATAAATCCTTCCCTATGCAGGGTTGTGAGGCCTTGGAATGGATTCCCAGGGAAGCTCTGGCTGCTCCATCCCTGGAAGTGTCCAAGGCCAGCTTGGACGGGAGCAACATTCCCTGCCCGTGGGAAGGAACAAGCTTTCACTGGATGAGCTTTAAGCTCCTTCTTCCAACCCAAACCGTCCCAGATTCCCAGACCAAAAATAACTCTGGAAGCACCCGAGGCACCAGGCGACTCATCCCAAATCCAGCGGCACCCACAGCACCTCCAATCCAAATAACCGGCATGAATCCGGCCGCGGCCGGAAACTGGAATTCCCGTTCCCGGCGCTCCGGCCGCCCTCACCTGCACGTTGCCGTGGGCGCGGGTGATGATGTCGATGCTGTCGCCGCTCTGCTTGTACTCCAGGATGCAGGCGTTGTACTTGGCCGTCAGGATGAACAGCAGGTCCTTGCTCTCCCCCTGCGCAGGAAACACGTTCCAGAGGCCCTTCCGCGCCGGGAACCCCCCCCCAGCACCCCCCCCGGCCTTGGGGCACTGTCCCGGGACGCACCTTGGGGCGGAAGAGCTCCATGACGGCGGTCTTGCCGTACATCCCCACCTCCTTGACGGGCCGCAGCCCCTCGGCCGTGACCACGTAGATCTCCAGCCGCGTGTTCTTGGCGATCAGCAGGTTCAGGTCCTCGGAGGAGGTGAAGTGGCCTGGGAAAAGCGGGAAGGCCTCAGGGATCTCCTGCCACCTCAGGGATCTCCTGCCACCTCAGGGATCTCCTGCCACCTCAGGGATCTCCTGCCACCTCAGGGATCTCCCGCCACCTCAGGGATCTCCCGCCAATCCTTGGTTTGCCTCCTGAAGCCCCCAGTTCCTCCCCCCGCAGCCCCCTTGGGAACCGCGTTCCCAGAGCTCGGGCTCCACGTTTCGTCCCAGGAATCCCTTTCCTTGCTGCCTTTCCAAGGGAATTCTCATTCCTGAGGTTTCTTCGACACCTTCTGCGCCCCCACCCCGTTACAGAGCTCAGGGACTCCCCTGGATCCCCATTTCCAGCATCCCAAGGTCCTTCTGGGATCCCCAAAATCCCCCAGGCCCTCCCCGTACTCCAAAATTTCCCC